TAAGCTGACAGACATCCATGCCCTGTATGAGAATCGCCTTAAAGAACTGGGACAAAGAAAAGAAATAAACAAGACAAGGTTAAAAAACCAACTGCTGGAACACTTCCCTAAGGTACAAGAACAGAACGATGGGAAAAACACAGTTCTTGTATTTCAGGAAGGAATGAAGTACATGTTGGTGGATGCCCTAAAGAAAAGAGACTTTGACGAAGATGCAAACATTCTGCTTAAAGCAGCTAAAATAGTCCGCAAAGATATTTTTGATCACGAAAGCTTTCAATTTTCAGGTTCACTCACAAAACAATGTCAAGAGAAATCAATTCCTTCCAGTCTTAAATTTCTAATATCTATGATACTGAATGGACCAAATTTGCAAAACCAAGACAAGCATGACTCACAACCTTGTCTGACAATCGGGCAATGTATTTCATATAACATGAAGAAAAAGTCATCTCCCACATCTACCAATGCTAGGCATAACCTACAGCGAGAGCCACCACTTCCCATTTATATTGGCATCAGTTTGCATCTGGGGACGAGAAGCAAGAAACTAATCAACCAGTTATGTCATATGGGCATTTCTATATCCTATGACAGAGTAATGCAGATCGAAGATCAGCTTGCAACCTCTGCGTGTGAACGTTTTGAAGAGGATGGAGTTGTGGTTCCTGCTTGTCTTCGGAAAGGGCTGTTCACTGTCGGTGCCTTAGACAACCTTGACCATGATCCAAGTTCAACAACCTCTGTATCCTCATTTCATGGAACAGGAATCAGTCTACTACAGTCCCCAGTCAAAGACAATACTGGTGAAGGCAGACCACCACTTCTCATCCCACCAAGCGACCATGAAAAGCGCAGCCTTCCTCATACATATGCTTCTGTCCCAGCTGTGGCAATGAAGAATACAGCTGTAGCTGTTCCAAAGCGCGATGTAGTTCCAGTAAAAGGGAACATTAAAGATGCCAAGCAAGGTGAATACAAGTGGGTCAAGCAAGCATTACAAGTTCTGGAAAAGGAATTGACCAAAGAAGATTCTATTGCATGGGCAGCCTATCATGCTTCTATACAACCACCAATCGAAGATCCTCCAGCAATTTGTGCCCTTCTGCCTTTGTTTTATGAAAAGTCTGCCACACCTGCCATGATTAAGCATGGCATGGATATTGTAAGACAAGCTGTTGAATACCTAAATCCAGGTCAAGTCCCTGTAACTACGTTTGACCAGCCACTTTTTGCCATAGCAAAGCTAGTGCAATGGAAATGGCCAAACACTCATGGTGAGGGGAAACATGTTGTTATGCTAGGTGGTTTGCACACAGAAATTGCACTATGGAAGACCTTGGGTGATCTTTTAGCAGGTTCCGGCTGGATAACCGCTCTCTCTGATGCAGACGTAGCAACCATAGGCAAGGCTGATTCTTTTTTGAAAGCTTCCCACCTTACTAGAACAAGGCATGCTCATCAAGTCACACTTTTGACTCTGCGCAATCTTCAGCAAGAGGCATTTATTTTGAGTAGTGACCCAAATGATGGGGTTTCCATCCACACCTGGAGACAACACATGCTAGAAAAGAGTCCAACATTCCTGTTCTGGGACCAAATAATGAAGTACGAAACTCTCGTTCTTCTGTTCATTAGAGCTCACAGGGAGAGAAATTTTCCTCTATATGTAGAAGCATTGGAGCAACTCACTCCTCTCTTTTTTGCCTTGGACCATGTCAACTATGCAAGGTGGGTGCCTGTCCATCTTCGAGACATGATGTCTTTGCCAGCCCCTATAGCAACACAGTTTAAAGATGAGTCACACTGGGTCATCAACAAGACAACTAGCACGTTTTCAGCCATTCCCTTTGACCAGGCTCACGAGCAAGAAAACAAATTGGTAAAAGGAATAGGTGGTGCTGTAGGTTTAACTGAAAACCCAACAGCTTTATGGCGATGGATGTTGTCAGGTCCAGAACTTGCTAGACTTCAAAAAGAATTTGAAGAAGAGTATCTCTCAACTGATAATGACAAAGAACACCTTCACCACGAGCAGGGATTGTCAGCCCAAAAAAGATTTCAGAAGCATGTTACAAGTCTCTCAGAAACAGTGAGAGAAATGGGAAACCCCTTTCTGGATGATTTTGATGACCTCGTAACTCTTGACAGCCGTTCATGCACAGAAAAATCAGCAATAAATACAGTGCGAACCCTAGAGAAAATCGGCCAGAAGCAATACCAGGAGTTTGTTAAGAAGGTTCTTGAGGAGCGCACAGTGTCCATTCATGAACCCATCAAAAGGAATTCCCTGACGCTCTTCACTAAACCCAAATGGAAGATAATCCCCAAGAAAGATAGCAAGATAAAAGTTCTGCAGAGCAACGTGGCCCTATTTGGCCAATTGTATATTTCCATGAAAAGCCGTGAGAGTGACTTGGAGGAATTTTTTGCCCATGAGATTCAGTCTTTTCCACCTTCACTCTCAGACTATGGAAAGCTCCACCTTCCTGGTAACAAATCAGATCTCCTTAAAAACTTTGAGCAATTCGAGCAAGAAGACCCACCGTCATCATTTGATTGTAAAGTGCTGGATGGTGCAGCGATTGTGCACAGTCTCCCTGCAAATGCCCCCACATTTAATGAGTATGCTGACAACATCTTTATCCCTTATTTGGATAGGCAGTTGAGGGAAAGCCATCGATTAGATGTGGTATGGGACACCTATCTCCCTGATAGCCTTAAAGTGTTTACACGCGAGAAGAGAGGCAGTGGGGTACGCAAGAAAGTTAGTGGCTGCACCAAGGTGCCATCAAATTGGAATGCTTTCCTTTCAGATCCAAAGAATAAGCAGGAGCTTTTCCTCTTTCTAACATCAAAGGTGAAAGAGCACAACTGGCCACAAGGAAAGCTGGTCTTTGCCACATCAGAAACATCAGTGCTGTCTATCGGGTCCTGTGTCATTATGCCTGATTGCAACCACGAAGAAGCCGACACAAGAATAGTTGTCCACATATGCCATGCCCTTGAGCTAGGTGCTAAGAGAATTCTTGTGAGCACAGTTGATACTGATGTAGTTGTCATACTACTTGGCAAGTTCTATGACTTTCTTGAAATACAACCTTCAGTGAAAGTCTCTGTTGCTTTTGGCAAGGGTAGGCGCTACAGGCACTATGACATAAATGCCATTTACAACAGCCTCGGTCAGGTGAAAGCAACATCATTACCTGTGTTTCATGCATACTCAGGTTGTGATACAACCTCTGCATTTAGTGGAAAAGGGAAGAAATCAGCTTGGCGCGCATGGGAGCTCTACGATGAAGCCACTGAAGCTTTTTACTATCTTGCAAGAAACCCTTTCACGAGCCTTGATGAAAACAGTGAAGCATTCCAAAGATTAGAGAGACTTACAGTTCTGTTATATGATAAGTCCAGCCCATCAATGTCAGTTAATGAAACCCGAAGATCCATGTTCTGTCAGGATAAAAAACAGATGGACAAGCTTCCGCCAACGCAAGATGCTCTCTTGCAGCATGTGAAAAGAGTAATATACCAGGCTGGCGTATGGACATCAAGCCATCGTAACATACAGGCGAATCCATCACCACATGAATTTGGTTGGGAGAAAGTGGATGGGCGATGGGAACCTGTATGGATGACCATTCCTGAAGTTTCAAATGCATGTAGAGAGCTTATAAGATGCGTATGCAAAGGAAATTGTACAGGATGCAGATGTGGCACTGCAAATCTACCATGTTCTCCTCTCTGCAAATGTAGTTGCTTCAAATGATCACTAACTCATTGCATTTTATTGTTAGGTTAGCTGTTCTTTGAATTTTAGTGTGACAATTGTAAGGTACATGTTGTTATGTTAGAGACGGAAAACTTTACTTACAACTATGCCTTGTATTTTGTCCTCTTTGCCCCAAAATATGCAGTATGTATAGCATGTGATATTTAGTGAAATTTGATTTTTATATACAAAATAAATGTTTGAAATATTCATTTATGTTTATTTTATTGTTCCTATGGGCATTACAATGTACAGAATACAAATGACCTCAATATAAATTTACAAGCACTTTATTTTAGCGATTTTTGTGGTTTTCCCATTACAAACAGTATCAGACATAATAGTGACCTTGACCTTGACCCCAGAATTGCCAATTATTACCTGAAGAAACAAAAACTCTATGTATGATTGATAAGATACCTAAAATGGATTCTTTTTGCAAACTCTCTGCCAAAAATTACTCATAAGTGAAATAACCAAAATTTGGCGGCCATTTTGGATTTTTGGCCAAACGGTAATTTTTTCCCGAGGGCTACGGCTCTAATTTGATTTAGAATGTCAAAAGGTACCCACATGCCAAATTTAGTGCTTTTATCCGCCGTGTCACGATTTTTTCCTTAAGCCACCGGACTAATATCCCTGCAAGCCTTTGCGAATAGATGCGCTATTCCTCGGCTCTGCACCACCTGAGTACAGAGAGGATCGCGCCGACCACACTACCTCAGTACAGGGAGGATCACGCCGACCACATTGCCTGAGTACAGAGAGGATCAAGCCGACCACATTACCTCAGTACAGAGAGGATCACGCCGACCACATTACCTAAGTACAGAGAGGATCACGCCGACCACAATACCATAGTACAGAGGGGATCACGCCGACCACATTACCTCAGTACAGAGAGGATCACGCCGACCGCATTACCTCAGTACAGAGAGGATCACGCCGACCACATTAGCTGAGTATAGAGAGGATCATGCCGACCACATTCCCTGAGTATAGAGAGGATCACGCCGACCACATTTCCTCAGTACAGAGAGGATCACGCCGACCACATTACCTGAGTATGGAGAGGAGCACGCCGACCACATTACCACAGTGCAGAGAGGATCACGTCAACTACACTACCTCAGTATAGAGGATCACGCCGACCACATTACCTCAGTACAGTGAGGATCACGTCCACCACGTTATCGGAGTACAGAGAGGGCCACGCCGACCACATTACCTGAGAGTGTTTCCGTAAGTGCGGCCAGGGCGTCCTGGTCAGTCAGCCATGGGACTGGAGAAACACTGGGGGACGGGAGAACACCCTCCCTCTCCTCTCTCTCCTTTCTCTGCTCCTCTGTGCCACCCTCTTCCTCGTCATCGTCCCAGTCCAGTACCACTGTGGGGGCACTCTCTGTGGACCCCCTGTGACTGCTGCTGTGGGGGACACCCCCGTGGACCAGGGTATCCAGGCGAGACAGGGGGTTGCTGGTCCTGTGAAAGAAAAAAATATCGTATATAAGAATCTTCATCATAATTTATGTGTCATATTAATGCTTTATAACCAGCGAGGAAGCATGTGGCCGCCCTGGCGTGGGGCATGTGGATAATCTTGTGTTCAGTCGGAATTTAAATAATCCTGGGGTATAATATCTAGTATACTGTATAAAGTGTCCTCATTTTTACCTCACTTTTAATTAAATGTACATGAGTGATTGATGTGGCTTCATTTGCAATATACTGTTGCAAAATTGTTTTTGTGAATCACTTCATCCAGGTCAATTGTCAATCGCTCTGTCGAATAATATATTGAAGTCCTGTTAGCGATATGTGCGATGTTGCTGCGACAAGCGAGCGAATCAAAAGACTAGATACATAGCCAGTAACAGATTTTATTACTTATAGCGTGATACAAAGAAAGCGCACTTACACGTAAATAGCGCAGGGTTCTACAGGGTAGATATACTATATAATAAATAGTAAAAATGTTATTAAATATCAGGTTGGTATTAAGTCGTTGGGCATTTTCAATTTTTGGTCGTTTTCCTTTGAAACCTAACCTTTTCCTGCTTTTAGGGCGAAAATTCATTTGTGTATTATTCTGTCCATTAAAAGACAGGTAAAAACGTTATCCGGAAGTGAGCCGAGATGCACCAGTGACGTCAGACAGCACTCTATTCCCAAAAGTCCCAACATAGTACCCTTTTTATATGTAAAGGCATTGAGGTAATTACTGACATGACTTTTTAAACATTAGTTAAAATACAAAACGTTGGTCTTTCATTTGAATTGGAGAAATTACATAAATGACAATGTAATATGATACATGTAAAACGGATATATACACTGTAAAAACAGTGTTTAGTATTTAAATACATACAACACACGTTAGGCACCTATACGCATTTAGAAATCTGTGTAAATGCTAAACGCGTATAGCTTTTCAAACGTTTCACAGAAGAATAAGCTAGACACGTTGGCATTGTTACACGTTTAGCTATGTGTTTAGCTTCAGCGGCATATGATTCTATAACAAGTCTATCACAAGCTAAGCACATTGGCTAAGCACTTCCCCTGCTCAGGGCGTGAGGCTGCTAAACATATGGAGCTGCTATAGGTGTGGAATTCCTTAACGCGTGGAGCTGCTAAACAACATGTTTAGCTTTTCAAGCTCGTCACAGAAAAAATGCTTCACAATCCCATATATACGATCCCATAACAAGTTTATTACAAGACTCAACAATTTTGCTTAACACTTCCCCTTGTAAACATATGGGGCTGTTGGAGGCGAGAAGCAGCCTGCTCGAACGCGTTGTGTCCTTCCTTGCAGTAACGTGTGATTCTTTAAAATAGGCCTATTAAGTAATAATCCAAATAACAAATAACGTTTTCACGACTTTATCAGCTGGTTACATGATAGTGATGGTATAGAATAACGTCATGGTAACATTATGGGTGTTTTTAACGCCATGCAAAATGATGCCCTTGCAGTTTTATAAGCGTTTTATAACATTCTGGAAAAACATTATTTAATGTTTTGAAAACTTTTTTTATTAATCACCAAAACACGTCTTATACTGTATGAACTACAGTTAGCGGTTAATTCCAAAATGGGCTTGGGTTAGTCGGCGACTAGAGCGGTGCGACTTGAAAAATATGCGGACTATCGTTACCAAAATAACCAGCATGTGATGAAAGCTTAAATAAACCATTATAATGAATACCTCACCATCATCCTGATGTTCTATTGTTCATTTCTTCCGGAAAAATAAATGAACATCAATACCTTAACGCATTTTATCAAAATATGAAAAAAATGTTTTAAAGTAAAAGTGATAGTTGTTTCGTGTCTTTAGTAAACTAGTGAATTTTCCTAACTTGTTTTTCAGAAATATATTCCGATTAACTTCCTCGCAAGGTCAGCTAACACAAGGATGAATAAGTTCCGCTGTAAAGATGATGGTGTGAATCAACTATGTTGACAGTTCACAGTACCCTGTTATAGATAGAGATAACTATAGCAGTTAAAGGTGACCATGACTTCGCGCGCGCGCGCGCGCGTGTGTGTGTGTGTGTGTGTGTGTGTGTGAGAGAGAGAGAGTGACTGAAACAGTTGAAAACGTTACAACCTTAAAGTTAAACAAACACACCCTACATTTATTAGGCGTCAAGCACGTCAAAGCGTGTAACATGTTAATAGGCTTAACGTGCTTAGGTGCTAAACGCGTGGAAAAAATGAGACAAAACAGGCGCTTAGAAATGTGTCTCAGAGCTAAACACTGTTTTTACAGTGTAGCGAAGATAACTACAATTGAGAAAGAATTGCCAGTTAAGTGCATCATATTATCAACACGACATAATAAATTGTATTACCCCTCGTCCCACGACCCAACTCATGACAATTCTAAATCCTTCATTAACCTAACCCTTAATTGTCATCACATCAGACTGAAAATCTAACATAATTCCAATGCAAGAAGGTACACAAATGCCAGAAAAAAAATCAAATATTGAATTAGAGTACACAGTCCAATTCAAAAGAATGAGAATTTTTCTCTGTACCATGTTCCTTGGGGAAATGAAATATAGAGCGCCTGAATTGAGAGAAAAGTGGTCATATATAGTGTCGTGACAAAAGGACGGATGAAGTTGGAATTTAGAGAAACAGATGAAACATCTCTAATAGGGGACAGACAAAACACTCCATTATTTCAGATTTCCCTAGGGGTCAAACAAAAACAAATTGCCAATATTGACGTACTATCGTGATAATTACAAAGCTGTGGTCATTTTAAAGCCTACACCTGTTGTATATACAGTACGTACTTGCCACTATAGTCCAATGCTATTTTAACACTAAGCGCATTAATTCAAATTTGGCCTTAGTAACATAAGTCTGTAAGCTAAAGGAATATATCAACATATAAACATGCTATGAATTTGATACTACACTGTTTTTCTTTTTCTTTTTTTCAATTAAAATAGAAAAGCGCAGTCTGGAAATCTTCTATCTACCTACGCATCTGATTCCCTTATTAGTTTCATTCCTGCAGGATTGCATCTCCTACAAGAGTCAGGGGGTTACTGCCAGGTCAGGAAACAAGTACCATCTAGTAAAGCCTCATCATTCATAATTGACAACCATCAGATAGAAAGATATGTAGACATTAGATTGCCTCAACAGGGACCTAGGCGGTTGCTATTTCATGGTCTGTGAGGTATATGACGTTCGTTTCTACGACATCAATAAAGATTGACTGCGTTTGTGATAAAACTGAATTTTTTAACAGAAACATGCGAATCAAAACCTTGAGAACATGACCTGACTTTGGGTTATGGAAGTAATATGCATATCCCTTGTGTTCATATCCAAGCGTTTATTACCCTACAGCTTTCAAGAAAAAATTGTCAGCGACACTGATTTGATTGTATGTACATTGTACATATATTGAAAAGTCAGTACTTTGTCACACACACACACGCAGTTTATATATACATGTATGAGAACAAGGGTTGATTTGCCGCAATTCAGAATATACATTGTAACTGCCGGACCGGAAAGTCAATATGTTGTTCATTTCCAAGTAAGGTTTCGGCCAAATTGTTTTGAGTTACATTAATACTTATAGTAAGTGCTCTGTGTATAATTTAGGTGGATATTACAGATATTAACAACACATTGAGAAGTAACACGGCGCTTGTGGGGAGGTGTTTTCTGGCCTCTTTTTCCGAAATGGCCAACTGTCATTATGTCATTACGTCGTATTTAATTCTCTAAATGTTGAGTTTCGCACCTCATGAACCATTTCAAGCAACATTTTGTCTTCTAATACCAACTTAATGGCCACATGCAATGCGCACATTAGGGAACGTGTTAGTCACTCTTTTTCACATTATTGCCGTAATAAATTCAGTTTGTTTCTAATTAAGAGATACAATCATGCAACTTTTAACTAAACTTGAACAAGCTGACTATTTGTGTTTGTATCGTCAACGTCCATGAAAAAAAGGAAATGTCTTTGCATTTCAGTTAGCCTAGTCCAAACACAGTGCTGTAGACCTTAAGCCAGAAACTAACAGCGTCATTATTACTTATATAGATTTCGCCACATAAGGTGAGCGTCAATAGTGATAATCATACGATCATTTCAGTAGGACTAAGCAGTACACATCAACAATACGCCGTTGTAAAGACACTGCATCTTAAGCATCTTAACTTCATCCGTCTTTCCCGTTACCAGATTTTTCATGCCCGGCATTATCATTTGTGCATTATTTTAATCGCAGTTTCTTAGTGTGTATTTAGTATGATTTATGTAATGAATGATATATCAACATATGCACATCATTGCATATGTTGCATATGCATATGCTCTTTACTATCAAGTACCAATGAGTTATACACTCGATGTTTACACAGCGGCACTGTTGATATTTTTTCTCAAAAAGGAACATATTCCTTTTTTTACTATTTCTAATCTTCTATCTAGCGACTTTCGTAAATTTACGCATTACATGGTACAGACACTAGTCGCGCATTTAAACAAATGGGGTGCGTGAGGATATTCTGTTAATGCACGCTGTAGGAGCAAAAATTGCGCAATAATTCGTAGAAGAAATACCCCAGTGCACGATATCTAATTGTTACATGTTAACCCCCTGATTTTGTTTTCATTTTTCGTCTCATTACAACGCAATTAGTGGAATTCATCTAACAGTTTTTTCCCTGGAAATACGACTGGCAAAGCAAAACACGCAAACGTGCACATAAAACAGGGCTTTTAACTTAATAGATTTCATTACGGTTTATATTTTAAAGACTAGGTCATTGCTTACCTCGTATTACTGAGCCTTACATAAACGTAACTGCGTGTTAAATGCAAAGTTTGCATTCTGATGCCTCCCTTGACGAACTGTTAGAAACACTAGATTCTCCGACAGACCCAGTCTCTGTGTTATACAGAGTAGAAATGTACAGGGGGATGTTCGTGCTT